CGGTCCTTGGCTGATGCATGATTGAGCATAGGCCTGGAAATGTCCAGCCAGACAGATACCCAGAGTTGGCAAAAGATTGAGCAGCACATGACAAATAAGAGTCAGATTCCTCATATACTTTACCCAGATTGGACAAGCTCACAACATATAAGACAAGATAACAATGTAATATTTAAGAATAATACCACTTGAAAAAAGTACAAATGTGACAAGATTATGCATAAAATACATAATCACTGGTCAAATTATTCCCAAAGTATCATGTAAAAGGCATGAACACAATTCCTGTGAAGATAACCGTCGCAAAATCAGGTTCATCAAAATCTAATTAGCGAGCTCGAGTTTCTTTATATTCTGAATTTGTTTTCCAGGGTTTAGTCCCTTAGGGCATGCTTTAGCGCAATTCAAGATGGTGTGGCAACGATACAGCTTGAACTCATCATTTACAGCCTCAAGACGCTCCTTTGTGTACTCATCACGACTGTCCATTATCCACCTTCATTGAATTACAGAAACAATGTTTAGCATGAATATATATATAATAAATATACATAGCTATATGTTTGTCTAGTCGATCAATATCAGAATGTTCGAACAATTTGGCCGTAATTGATTGTTACATTCCTAAGCACTAACCAGAATAATTTATAAATGGACATATATGTGAAATTTTCAAGGGGACAAAAGCAAAATCTATTGGGTAGGCAAGATGGATCAAACATTTAATATTTTTCCATACAATCAGTATTGCAATATTCAAGCGAACCAAATTTCATGCAAAAGAACATTTTCATTTAATATTTTCCGCACAATCATTATCGCAATAATCAAGCAAACATAATTTCATGCAAAAGCACATTTTCATATGAACAGTACGCACATGCTAAGGATTTTCAAGTTCAAGAATATGTAAGAATGCACAACAAGTTAGCTCTCCTAATTTTCAAAGATAGGAAACAAACAATTAGAACCTCCCAGCTCACAACATTAGGAAACGATAACATGGCTCAAAGCTTGTTTCAGTAACTTCTATTTGCATGCCAAGGGTACTATATGACCATCTTACGAAGGATTAGGGAGAATATACGCAATCATGCTAGTATAAATAGAATGTTCTCACTCTGTTTTTAAAGAATTGTCATTCTAGAGCACATCAGAAACAACAGTTCAAACTCTTGTCCTACTCTATCAAGTCACCATGAATCATACCTTCCTAATAAGCGTAAAAGAGTTGAGCGTTTATTTTAATTAAAACTAAGAGTTTCCTTCAAGATTCCTTACATGGATATAATAGAAACAGTATAAAACAACATATGATAATAAACAAAAAATCCAACCGCTAGAGCTTTCAAACTAAGCGGATGGACTGCATATATTATGTGCATTATCCGAATTCCTACTGATAAAATTTATCCAACGTCATTAAATAACATATCAGGAACTCCATAATATACTGAAGGCATAGTATAACACTAATGACAAGCAGATGCAAACAAAACAAGCACCAGACTGGAATTAGCTATACGAAAACCATTTCCAATCTTAGGTCAAGGTATTCGGTGATATAGAACAGAGTTACTAATCACAATCCTCGTCAATATATGCAGTCGGATGCAAATAAAAAGCAAGAAGCAAGCTTGAAGCAGTTAACAAAAGAAGCACTGAAAGAGACACAAACTAGTCTGAATCACATCCAAACAGGCCTAGCAAAATGAAGAATCATAATGACACTATATCGAATCTCTTGTCATACATTTCACAAAAAGATGTGTGAAGATTCAAGTCTCATCCTCATTCTATCTAAGAATCATATCAGGTGAGGGCTTCCATATTAAATTATCCAATATTTCCAACAATTCCCAACACTTTACCACATCACAATTCTCATAAAAACAAACAAAATCAAGAAGGAACAGAAGGTGAAAGAAAACGGGAAGCTTATACCTATTGGCGTGCAAGAGCGCAGCCGGACCCAAATAAGACTCCGGGTTCCACCAGTAGCTGGGGCAGGACGTGCTGCAGCAGGCGCACAGAATGCACTCGTACATCCCATCCAGCTTCTTCCTGTCCTCCTTGCTCTGCAGAACCTCCTTCCCCGGGTTCTCCGGAGGATTCTTCCTCTTAAGCCACGGCTCGATGGACTTGTACTGGTTGTAGAAATTGGTCATGTCCACCACCAGATCCTTAATCACGAACATGTGCGGCAGCGGCGTGATCATGGTGGCCCCGCCGGAGTCTATTTTCGTCAGGCAGGCCAATCCGTTCCGCCCGTCGATGTTCATTGCGCACGAGCCGCAGATCCCCTCGCGGCACGATCGGCGGAAGGTCAGGGTCGGGTCGATCTCGTTCTTGATCTTGATGAGGGCGTCGAGGACCATGGGCCCGCAGTCCTTGAGGTCGATCTCGTAGTTCTGGAGCTCTGGCTTCTGCGGCGAATCGGGGTTCCATCGGTAGATTTGGAAGGTCTTGGGGGTGGAGCTGGGCTTCGCCTTGGGCTCGACCTGCTGGGCCTGGGCCTCCGAAGCATGGGCGCGGCAGATAATAGCCCTCGACGACGGTGATACAGCCGGAATCCTAGATATCGTTCGTCGGACTAACCCAGTCGCCATTGATGTGAACTGTGAACAGAGATAGATAATGCTGCGCTTTTTCTTCTTCTCGAAGAGAGAGAGAGAGAACGAAAATAATGATTGGGAAATTGGGCGTGTGTATGGCTCACTACTCTTGGTTTGGTTGGTAATGTAAAATGACGAAAATGGGTTCGTGTACAACTACTGAATTCTGAGGCGGTGGAGGCGAATGGTAAGGGTATTTTGGAGAAAGCGCATCAGAGAAAGGAGGTGTCGTGGATGCTATGACTGGGCAGGTGACGTGGAGGTAAATGAGCGGTGGAGATGGGGAATGAGACGACGTGTTTGAGTCTTGCAACAATTGTATTGTTTCTGGATTTTGTGTAAATGATACGTGAAACGTCGCCAATAGGCGGATGGTAGGGATGCTTGGATTAATTTTGAAAATGTGATTATAGACATTGAAATTTTAATGTTTTATTAATTAATGTCTTTATTAATTTTGAGACATAAATCCAAGATAAAAATATATTTAATAATTAATGTCCACCAAATCAAATATGAGAACAAGAAACAATATTATATCAAATCTTAGGATAAGGAAAAAGAATATATCAAATCATACAAATCAATCATGTCTTCTTCTCCAAGATTCTCTATCTACACCAATAATAGGATTCTCCTAAATGCAACAAATCACACCTCAAAAAATATCAAACACATCTCAAAAAACAAATTCCCAAATTCAAGCGCTCTAAAGCTCAAGAACCCTCTTGAAGATTTGAAGAAGTTCTTGAAAAACCGCTCAAAGTCTGTTCAATGAAGAAGAAGAAAAAGAGGCGGCGGATCTTCCCCAAGAAGTAAAGAGACGACTTCAACTCCTCTCAAATCAATTCGAGAATATCAACGACGTTCAAACGACAATGAAGTCGCGTTCGTTGAGAAGTTTGTTGACGGTCATAACCGTCAGCCTTCCCCACTTGGGGGGTCAGACCCCCCGGTGGGCCATGACCATGTACCAGGGACTCATGAGCTTCCGCAGTGTTCTTGCCCTAGGGTGAAAACCCATTTTTGGACTTTCTGTGGTTTTGCCCTCAACAAGACTCAAACTCTGCACCCTGAGCATAAGGTGAGGTTCATGGCAAGTCCTGGTACATTCACCTTTAGAAACGAAAGGGGACGGGTGTTGAACATAGGCTTGTATGCGATGAACGTTTTCTACCAATCTATTTAAACAACTTTTAGAACCGAAAGGGGAGGAGTTGTTTGACATAGACTCGTATAAAGTAGACATGTTCGTAAAAGTATTGTCTATGTGTTGTTTGTTTCAATGAGTTTATCGTTTATGTATGTACTCATGTTAGGAAGAGTTAATGAGCGTAAACCTCTAGACGTCGGGCTGAAGTCGCGCATACGGGTGGTGCAGGGATGAACGGAGCTGGCTTGCGGTGCGGGATGGACGCGTGAAGGGTGGCGCTGCTCGCTGGGCTCGAGCAGAAACCGGGTGTGCGATCGGGACGGGAAGGGCTCGGCGGAGGGGTGGTCGCTGGACGACAGTTCACCGAAGCTCGGAGGATGGCTGGATTTGTGGTGAATGGAGGTGGAAGGTGATGGATCTAGGGTTTTGAGTGTTGGTGATGATGGATAGTGTGGGGAGAGGTGGAGTGTGTGTTATTTATACACATGAGGGAGCTAGGGTTTGATTGAGATATTGGGCCTGAAAATCTGGCCTTAGTATTTCTTCACTTGAGCTTAATAATCGGGCTAGTAAATATCGAACATTGTCTTAGGAAATTAAAGGCTCGGCTAAAATTAATCGAACTAGGATTAAATAAATAAGTCGGTCGAATTAAATAATAATAATAATGGGCCGGAATTTAAAGATCGACTATATACTCGATTTTTTAAATGGACTAAAATTACGAACATGGCTCGTGTTGTCAAATGGAAATTAACAACAACCAAATTGGAGTGTATTTGAAGTAAAAGCT